TATTGCATTTTAATTTATGGCTACCTGATTCCATGTCTCACAAATGTAATTTCAAATAATTGATGATAAGCTTTCACCACACTAATAAAGTGTTCAGGGTTTGTCCCTCAAGACCAGCTACCTCTTGAGTGTGTTTCAGGACATCACCATCATCCCCAGGATTCCGGGTGCTCACAGCTTAGTGCACAAGACACCAAGTGCTCTAGCACCTTTGTTTGCCTGTGCTGGGTGGTTCATGATGTGAGTACTTAGAAAGGAGCTGGATTTCTAACACAGTAGTTCACTCAATAAATAAAGAGAGAACAAAACAGAGAATTCTACCAATGACTCTCCGATTGGAATATTCTGTCAGAACAGTGATATTTACAGAGCATCTTCAGGTTGCATAAATAGTGTTCCAAATCTAATTACATCTCAGTCCAAACTCCAGGTTGGAAATGGAAATTTGTGATTGGGTGACAATATTATATGCTATAAAGTTTCTGAATTGGCCATGGAACAAAATGAAAGAAGCACAACCCCTCCCAATGGCAAACATGAGAATAGACAAAATTACATTAAAGTGTTCTTTTCTACTCTGAGAATTTCACTTTATGAGATATGAGACTCATTCATACAAAGTTACAAACATATGTGTGCACACACACGCACACACACACACACAGTATTTCCCCATAGAACTCTAGTATGCCTAAGAAATTCTGTAAGAAAAATATTCTCACCAACAAAAAGAAGACAGCTGTAATTCTCCAGCATCAGTTCTCTGTACAAAGTGCTTTGAGCAGGATCTAGGAATTCCCTCTCCTCCTGTGACAAGTTCACAGACACATTACCAAATGTCAAAATCCCCTGAAATGAACAATAACAGTTTGACCATGGGTGCCCAGCAGATTGCTTTCCTTGAATCAAGGAGATCAAAGAAATTGAGAGGCATTTTCTGATGTAGGGTGTGATCAAAACTATTCTACAGAAGATTTTCCATATTGTCATATTCTCTAATGCCTTTTCTAACTGTGAAACTAGTAGGGCATGATACACCCGTATTCAGCATATGTACTGTTTCTATGGACTAGAGGATCTAAAATTAAGACCACAAAAGAAAAGTATGCATTTTAGTGATGGATTCCCATGATAAACTACATATTGCAGATGGAACATTAATGGTGAATTACAAATTTACTTCTTCAATGTTAATGTTTACAACTATAACAGGATGTCCGCTAAAATGTATGTTCTGATTCAATGCAATCTAGAATCATTCCTTCTGTGACTAATTCTAATAAGCTCTATAGAGATGGCAAGAATCCGGGTCCAAACGGAACTCCCTTAGATAGAGAAAAGTAGAACATGGAAGTCAGAACGTATGGATGAATTTGACCTGGATGAGTGTTGTTTTTGCCTCAACAGCAAGGGGAGGGACAATTAACTTGAAGTAATTCCTTACACTCGCCATCACTCTGCCGTATTTGAGAACTTCAGCACATTAATTCAAATAGTGCACATAAGCCAGGCGTGGTGCAGACCTTTAACCCCAGCACTCAGGAGGCAGAGAAAGGCAGATCTCTGTGAGTTCAAGGACAGCCTGGACTACATTACGAGTTCCAGACTAGCTGGGGCTACAGGGAGACCCTGACTCAAAAATAAATAGTACTAATTATTTTATGAGACTACTTTGGGAAGTATAAAACTGCTGATAAAAATTCGTTCTCACTCTCCTTAAACGCGCCAGTCCCTCCTTGTCCCGCCCCACATCCACTCTGCACCAACCGCTCCCCGTGGCTCCTCCATCTACATGAAATATTCCTATCTTCAAACCTCTTCTTATGGAAAGGAGAACTGTATACAGAATGAGTGTCCCTTATCCAAATGATGGAGGCCAAAACAGTTTGGATTTCTGACTTCTTTAGGGGGTATAAAATATTTTCATGTACAGGACCTTTTTGTGATGAGATCCAAGTTTATAAATAGAGTTTCTTTATCCTTCAAATTCACTTCATATACAAACATTGAAGGTGTTTCATATAGCATTTTAGCACTTTTTCCTTCATGGCCTGAGCTCAGGTACAGAACATACCATCTGAGGCATCAAATCAGCAGCCATATGGTACAGATCAGAAGCTTTCCATATATTCAGACTGAGCACGTTTATCCTATAAACAATGGGATTTGGGACAAGGTTCTATAGTGAGCATTTCGTAAAATGTTATTCTCAGATTGAAATATTTAATGCCATTTTTCTGGTAGTTTTGTGTTAGGAAATACATGACTTCAGCACTGACCCTCTCCCCAGAGTGTTTGACATTTAAATGTGCATACAGCATTCATACTCTCTGGCTCCATTTAATTACGATGGTGACTACATATTTTGTGTTTCTCCTTCCTATGTGAAAAAATTTCATTTATTTACTTATTAGCTTTTCATGTATATCAGTTTATTGACTGCACATGGGTGGAATCCCCCATGTCACACAATGCCCATGAAGGTCAGTAGAGGGAATCAGATCGCCTGGAACTAGAGTTAAGGACTGTTGTGAGCTGCCATGAATCTTGGTCCTTTGCAAGGGCAGCCAGTGCTCTTAATCACTGAGCCATCTCTTCAGCCCTCAGATTTATTTTTTTAATGTTTTTGATATTCTTATACATATGGAAGCAACGTGTTTTGATTATATTTCGATGCCCATCCCCATGTTCACCCCACACTACTACCACCAAGATGTACTGTTTTTTGTTGGGGGGGGCTTGTTTTTGTATAGCCCACTGATTCCAGTTTGTGCTACTTCTATACTCATGAGGGTGGAGCCATCCACTAGAGTGTGGTCAACCTGCCAGAGGCCACACCCTTAAAGAAAACTGATTCTCCCTCCCCTAAAAGCCATCAACTCTGATAGCACCTCAGCTAGGGGTGGAAGCTCATGATCCCCTTAAATAATTTTATGTCCTAAAAATATTTTGCTAAGGAATATTTTTGCCCAAATAATTTCAATCCTACTGTTAAAAACTAACCACTAGTATCATGTTATCACTAATTGTGTATTTATGGAAGATAAGTCGAGAGAATTCCCAAATCAAGAACGCTGTTAGTCCTTTTAAAGAGAAGTTGAGAGAGTCTCATTACCCCTTCAGTCATGTGGGAAATAATTGTTCTGTTCACATATCAGTGGACTCCACAGCTATAGAATTTACTGGTAATAGTATGTAGTTCTCTCCATTCTCTCAGGCTCTGAGCACATCCCAGTCTACAGTCTACTGTTCTATCAGCCTCCACAGACTCTATGTTCACTGTACATTTCCTGGTATTTTACCTCCAGTTATCAATCTGGTATTTTTTTTTCCACTAATCAACCTGTCTCACAATATAAGCCTTCCTTATTTGCTTGGTTTACCTTGGAAAATCTCTTTGGTGTACATGTATATAAAATTTGTTCTATACTCACACAGCTCAACTTCGTCACTTCTATATAACAAAAATTGAAAAATTTGTTATATCAATATTAAATATTCTAAAATCAGTGCATGATTTCACGTTGGCCGATATTATGTTTGAGTATATGCATATATATTATACATACAGAAATACAACTATATATACAACTATATCTATAAATACAATTGTGTGGGTGTGTGTGTGCGTGGGTGTGTGTATGTATGTGCTGAACACTAAGGATGGGCAACGGTCCTGTTTTCCAGGTGTATGATAAGGGTGCCTGATGACTGCAAACAAGAAAGTAGAGTTATGTACACACATGAAATATGCCAATCCCAATATTTTGCGTGCTTCGTAAAAGTAATTCAATTAAAATGTTTGCATAACTGATTTTTTACATAAAGATAAAGTCAACAAAATGCAATAATATCAGGAAGGGGAAATGGAAATATGCTGGCCAGCATAAGTCTAGGAGGCTTGGTGCTCCTAGTGAATACAGCACAGACATATGCATATTATTTCATGTCTGTTTTTTTGTAGAACAGAATCAAGCTCCATATTATACATGAGATAGATGTTATAGTTCAGTGTCACCAACACTGAACTGTAGAGGAAAATCTTTTCTTAGATGTGTGTCAGTTGCAGTAAATGAAAAAATACATATCAAAAACCCTGAAAAAAAGGGCCACTAAGGCCTGTAAAATTTCCAAGTATTGACATGATCAAGACTTCTGAATTAAAATCTGCGTGGAATAATTAGTCAAACATATTCATTTGGGATCAATTGTTTTTTCGAAACTCTGCCAATTCCACCTATAGAACCAGAATGACAAGATTCAGGGAGTCAATGGGATAAGCAGAAGGGCGAGAACTCCTGTAACCTGTGGATGTGTCCATTGGGAAGAGCAGAAAGAAGAGCTCCCTGTGATCCATGGGTTTTAATATCAATAGCACATCAAACCTAACTGGGCATGCATTGTGTTCAGCTCATAGGACTACGTGTTTGTGTGAGAACACAACACAAGCTAGGTTGATCTTGTGAGGACAATCTCTCAGAGCCTTTTAAAGACATATCTACATACATTTTGCAAAGAGGATACCTAGTTCTGTGATCATATGATCTTGTTTTCTGACTAAGAGTAAAGGAAAAATACAATCTAAGTCTTCCAACTGGGCCTGTTCTGCACTACTGCCTAGTGATGCCTGGGTTTCACTTACAGAGTTTCACTTCTCAGACCTTCAGGAACTGACGAGTCTTGACACACCACTTTCATTTGTATCACATTTACCTTTCACATGAAACTACATGTATTTTCAAAGATTGCTGCACATTAATGAGATTTTAATTCCTATTTTCTCTGTCATTGTATATACAGTCCCCAGAGTTTAGTACAATAGGTGTTTAGGAAAGCCACGGTGACTCAGTGTTGTATATTGGAAATTTTCTAATGATCAAACATCCTTGGGCAATTCACTGGAACATTGAATCTGATTCAAGATATATCAGCGACATTTTCAGAGTGCTAAGTACTGTTGTGCTACATGAAATAAATTACATCACTGATGTTTCCAAAGAGGTAAATAATTTTCTAATGTAAAACACGTACTAGTTCTCACATGTACACTATGCAAGTAAATCACATAGGATTTGCATAGGGAGATTCAGAAACACTGAGATTTGTGAAATTTTAGGCACTGGTAGACTCAAACTCAGGGCCTCTTACCCTAGGAACACAATACTACCTACAATCTGAGCCTGAAGTATGGATCATTTGAGACGCTGTTCTGTGTATAGCAGAGCAAATAAGTTATCTTTCATTTCCACTGTTTTGTTGGCTAGTAAGTCATGAACTTTAGGTTGTGGTTATAAATTGGTATCCCAGACTCTCATGTGTTGAATATCTGTGGACATTGGGATTCATAAAAGGATTTATGGAAAGGTGATTGGATCATGAGGGATGTAACCATGACTTCATAGCTGTTCCTCCATTCAGCTCTGATTGGAGGAAGTAGGTCACTGATGTACAACAATTAAGCACATAATTTGTCTCTGTCCTCAGAAAGACTGTTTCTATCTCTTTCTCAATCTCTCTGCTTCCTGCTCTCCCTTTCCTTCTGGACGAGAACTGTTCCCTCTGCCCATGGTTGCCAGACTCCTACATTTTATTTCCTCAAGCCATATAAATAGAAACAAATATATAGGAATCAAAAACTTTGAAAAGTGGGGGAAAGAGCCTCCCCACTTTACATCATTTTTCATGTATTTTGTCACAGCAGAGGAATTTCACCTGCACATTAAAGCCTGGGAATTTATCAATGGTCATTTGTTTCCTTACGTATATTTGAAAGTACACATGCATGCAAGCACTCCTTTCCATAACCTTTACCCAGCGTCTCACGTTTACACTTTTCTTTCAGTGTAAAGGAAAATCCAAATCCATGTGTTCACTTGACCCACAAAAAGATGGGGGATAGATGCAAAGAAAAATATTGACTTTTTATACATCAATACTCATTAATTAGGATTACAGTGACATTGCCGCAGAACTTTCATTATATTTATCATAATGTCTCAAATACATCAAACAATCTCTACTAAAGCGATAATGCAAATAATTTCAGGGTAAGTCCAGAAGGAACAGATACCCGGAAATCCAATCTACTCCTTTATCAGAATATTCTCATATTTGTCTTACTTATCATCACCTGGAATAGGAAAGTTTCTTTTTGAAGGCAGATAATATTTTTTTCATACAAGTTCTATGTTTCAACATTAGACATACGGTTTATTAAAACAACATCAACTTATATGTAGATTTAAATTATTATAAAGTGA